CTGTAGCCGCTGCATGCAGGCCTTGCTGGATGCTTTTAAAAACAAAGACTTGCCTGGAAGTGCCTTGAGCTATCCAACGCTCGGGGTGTGTTACAGACACCTGCCATGGCCCAGTTGAAAAGAAAAAAGTAATAAATCCCAAACTCCGAGCTGAGCCCGTGGGTTTTCATTCCCATCATTTTCATGCCAAGGAGCACAATGCTCCCGGCAGGCCACGGGGTCCTGCGCTAACACGATTAGCCAGGCAGATCCACCATCCGCATCCGTCACCCCCAACGCTTGGTCAACTTTGAAAAGTTCAGCAGCTCAACAGGTGAGGCCATGAAACCCGATCACAACAGACAATGTCATCCCCCCAGCGTCGTGCTGGGAAGAACTTGTCACGTGCGTCATATCGGGCAACATGCTTGAAACAGAGCAGTGCACTGAAACCCCAGCAACACGAATAATCTTTGCCATCTGTTTGAACAACTCAATCCTCCTCAGATCTAAAGGAATGATCCCATGCAAACACAAGGGCCTTGCTGACTGACTATAGCAGTCCAGCCCTTCTTTCGGGGGCCATTTTCCTCCCAGCGTTACACGGCAGCTCAGGACACGTCGTGGGGAGCCGCTGCAGTGGCCAAGGGGGCACTGAACTCCATGCACATTCTGAGGGGCCACTAAAAGTCCCTGCTTGCTTAAGCACAACACAACGCAAGGTAAATAGTTGAGTTTTAATTTTTTTTTCACATCAAGAAAATAAAATCTCAATACCAAAATTGTTTGGCAAAACCTTCCCAGAGAACACGACTGTCCTTTGGGAGATGCTTGTTCTGACCCAGCACAACTCACAGGAATGCAGTGGAGGAACCAGTCTTTGCTCAGATGCAGTCATTTGCACCCAAAGCCCAGTTGGGACTATCAGGACTGTTCCCAAACTTCCTGGGGCCAATAAACCGTGTGACACTCAGTGGAAACCAACCACGGTTCTGTCTGTGCTGCTGGGTCCATGCATCACTGGGAAGGCAATTAAGCAGCAGGTATTAAACCTTCATTAAAGCAGAGATTATAGACCATGGCCAAACACAGGGGCAAAATCCTGCCTTGCTCAAGATTTGGTTCATCAGGGCTTTCACCCCAAACTTTTAACCTTATTCTTCTTTGCTCACAGCCTGGCCAATTGCAAGCACCAGCTTGTACCCCCACACATTCCTTGGGGGAAAAAAAAGCAGGCTCATGGGAAAAAATATAAATAAGGAAGTTTCTCAAAATTCAGGAATTGCTTTCAAGCAGCACCTTGCACCCTAAAGTCCAAACAATTTCAGAGTCTAAGAAATGCATAATTGAAACAGTTTATCACACACCACCAGACCACAGGGCCTGATCCTGCTGATCCAAATCGCCCAGTAGCAGCAAGGACAATGAATTAAGGCAACCTAGGAGTAGTGGGAAGAGAAAGCACCAGCATTTTAAGAATTTTCCATAAGAGAAAAGAAGAAAAAAGGACAAGAGGTGTCCCTGGTGCCCTGCTGGAAGCAGAGGAGCGCAGCCTGGTCCTGCTATCGCAGTTACAGCCGGCACAGCCGCGGCAGAGGTTCCTAGCAGAGAGCTACAGACTTGAAATATAAATCAGTGATGCTGAGTAGGGCTGGCAACACCCAGCCCAAGGCAGGAGGGACTGGGCATTACAGCCCACGGGGCTGAAAATAATAACAAAAAAAGAAAAAACCAAAACACGTAACACTAATGACAATAATTTTTTCTTACAATAATTAGAGGACAACAGGCTTTCAAGTCCATAGGACATTTCAAAATGCATCATTGTTGAATCAAATGAAGAAAATCATAATAGAAATTCAACAACTGATTTTCTAGGCTTGGAAAAAACACTTCCACCAAGCTCTACAGTAAACCCCAAAGAGACCAGCAACATCCCTGAGGCTGCTCAGCCAGACACATGCACACAGGCTGTGGAGCTGAACTCCCTACTGCCACAAAGAGGGAACTTCTCTACTATCCAAAAATTCAAGGCACTTCATAAAATTAGTTTGCAATAGTGGCTGGATCTCATTCCTCCCCTGTCACAATACATATTTTCACTAGAAGCAGTTAACATGCTGTATTCATTACGGGGGGGGAGAAAACCTTGCAATGTGCATACAGAAGTTATTTCCACCAATTTTTAGTTATCTCACTATTGAAAAAAACCCATTTAATTTGTCCTGTTTCCCCCCTGCTTTTCAGGAACGATACCCAGCACCACTTGATGGTGTTCTGCATTCCAGACTACAGAAACAAACCAACAGATTTCATTTCACTTGACAGAAAATGGAGCAAGGAACAAGTTTGTGTTTTCTCTTTCTAAAGTTATTTTCAATAGATGAAAACTTCAGGCAGAAACAAGTAATTAAACAGGATTAATCACAATCACCTCCAAAAATAGAATTCATCAAGCCAAACAAGTAAATATCATGCCCCTCCATCTCAAAAATCTGAAAAATATTTTGGATGGCAGGAACAACTTAAACAAACAAAAACTCCTAACAAACATAAACAGATTTAGTCAATTAGCTAAAATACACTTCAAATGAGACATGGGTCAAAAATTCTATCTTCATCTTTTCAAAGTCAGGCAATTGGATTTGCACTACACTCTGAGTGCTGAGGACACAGTAACTTCCCCAGTTCCAAAGTTCAGTAGATTTGAGCAAAAGCATCTGAAAAATAAAGACAAGGCTTGCCCAGCTCACTGCACTGTGCTGACACCACACACCTTCTACAGCATCTTTAATCCAACTGTATTGAAACACTAACAAGAAGATACAAACACATCTCCTTATTGATACTAAGATAATAAATAAAAGCCTCATTAGGTCTGGGAGAAATAAACGTGTTCTTGAGGAGCGCTGGGAAGCCAAGATTCACTGAAGTCAGCAAGAGCTTGGAGTTACTACTCCATAGGATCTGACTTCTAATGACTAAATTTATAGGAACAAACTTCTGTATCTAATTCTAATTAAGTTAGAAATAATGCACAATATATAACAACTTGTCTGCTGGTTTTCCATCCTCTCCCAAGTATTTTGCATTAATTAGTTCCCCCCCAGTTGACCCAGGCCCCAGTCCCACAGACAGCCAGACACACTCCCATCTTCGGGGTAAATCACACATGACTGATTTCAAGACTTCCAGCATCTCTTGCTGCTTGAGAGCATCACCATTCAGACCTCAACATTTGTCAGATCTCAGCTAAAACAGCCCTTTTGCAAAGATACCAATGAAAAACCACAGTATTTGCAGGGATAGGGCCCACGCTGCTTAAAATTCAGCAGCTGATAAGGTGAAGCTTTAAGAAGTTAAACACAATACCTGTTCTCCAAATTTAAAAATAATGTATGTCCTTTAAATATTGGCTTTCACCCACTACATTTGGGACAACAGATGAATTCAATCATAAAGATTATTCTCTCCTTCTCCCCTTCCACCTCCTACTTGTAAAAGATTAATCAACCATTTTATGGTCTAATTTAGGTGCCTAATTAAAAACAGAGTTCAACACATACAACACCATTTTGCTGATAAATCCTGACAGGTTTTCTGCTCTGTTATATGCAAGTTCTCCTTCAAAATGGGAGATTTTTAAACTCAGCTGAATTTACAAAGGTTTCATTTGGGCTGCTGTGGGACGACATGCCACAGCCTCCATCGAGATGACAGAATTTCCTAAAACGAAACGGCTTTCAAATACTTCCTCCTCATTAGATCTTATCCTTCACTCATTTCACTAACTGCTGGGAGATGGCAATATTAAAAAAAAAAAGAGACATAAACGTAAGCGGACTTGTCGGGTGGGAGTTTCAAGACTACAAAGAGGTTACAATTCGGAACTTCACAGCTCCCCTTTAGCTTCAAAGTTTCCATCTCGGCTTCTTTAGCATTCCTGTAAACACTCAGTAGAAAGACGTATTCAAAACACCCTGATAAAGAAACTTCAGTCGGAAAAGGGTGAGAAAGGCACGGAAACGGGGTCGCCCCTCGTTCGGTGTCCGATCGCGCTTCTGCTCCGCAGCCACCGCCGCCCTGTCCGCCGAGCCCACCCGCACACAGACACCCCGGCCCGGGCTGCTCCTCGCAAAATCACTTGCAATTACATCCATCCTTACAGGCTGCAAGCCACAGATTTATAATTTTCTCCCAGTGCAAAGGGTTCATCCCGTTCCCGACGCGCCCGGTACCCGCTGCACCCCACGCCGCTCCCGCAGTGCAGCGCCGGGCTGGCGATCCATCAGCTCCACAGATGATTACGGGGAAGGAGAAAGTGAACGGAGACTGAATGCAGACAGCGAGTGAGGAAGCTTTACCTGGAACGTGGAGCTGCTGCCTGCCAGTCCCAGGCAGCGCTCCCGGAACGGGTGAAATCCCCTCCAAACGTGCAAAAAAATTCCCAAATGACTAAATCCTCCCCACCTCGCCTCCCCGACACAAAAAAAGGGAAAAAGAGAAAATGGGTCAAGCCCCACCGCAATGGGTACAAAAAACCCCCAAAAATCAAAAAAAACCCGAACCCAAACGGGTCAAAAACCCCGCAAACACGCGGTCGCTGAGCGCACCGCCCGCCAGCCCGCGCAGACCCGGGAGACACACCAGTCATCCCACAGCAACACCCTGAGCTGGAGGAAAAGTACGCTCCAGCAAAAGACCGGGAAGTACAGCGGAATAAGAGGGTTTAAAAATATTAAATTAATATGTAACCTTTATAAAAAAATTAAATAGTGTTTGGCTCGCGGAAAACCTGCAGACGCTCCGCCGCCGCCTGGGCTAACGGGGACCGCAAGTTGCGCTCTGGGTTTATTATATTTGTAGGGGTTGATTTTCGGGGGAAAGCATTCAGCGGAGCATTCACCCTTCGCCTCGGGCGCTCCCCAACCTGCTGCGGAGCCCGGGGCGGCCGCATCCCCGCATCGGGGCGGCGAGCGCAGGACGGCAGGGACCCCGCTCAGCCCCGGCCCGGCCCGTACCTGTACCAGGCGAGTCCCCGCTCGTAGTTGCGGTCGAAGAAGTGCGGCTCGGCACCGACGGCGCGCACGTCGGGGTGCACCCGCAGGAACTCCAGCAGCGCCCGCGTCCCGCCCTTCTTCACGCCGATGATGATGGCCTGCGGCAGCCGCTTGGTACCGGAGCCGTTGAAGAAGCTGGAGATGGGGCTGACGGCGTCGGGCGCTGCCCGCTGCTCCTCCAGGCTGCTCTCCTCGCCCGGCTCTCCCGGCAGCAGCGGGGGCAGCGGCGGGACGGCGCGGGGCGGCGCGGGTGACCCGCGGGTCGTCAGCCCGGCGCAGGAGCCGGCGCACGAGTAGAACATGTAGAGCCAGAGGAAGAGCATGATGAAGAGCAGCAGCAGCCTCCGCCTCAGCGGCGGCAACGCGACGGGGGCATCGAGGCAGCGGTTCAAGCGCTGCCCCATGTGCCCGCGGGCGCAGGGGGATGCATGGCTGGAGCCCGCCCGGCTCGGCTCGGCTCTGCCCGGCGCCTCATGGGCACCCGCGGAGGCTCAGCACGGCCCCATCGCTGCCGCCCGGCCCGCTCCGCTCCGCGCCCGCCGCCGGGAGCGCAGGCAGAGCGGCGGGGGCGGGGCGCGGGCCCGGGGGACGGGCGGCGCCCTCGGCCAATCACAGCCGCGGCTTCTCGCATAATAAGGAGGGGCGGGGCGAGAGGAGCGGAGGACGCGTTGATTGGCTGGCGGCAGGAGGGGCCGCGCCGTCGGGGCCCCGGGCCCGTGGGGCACCCCCGGGCGGCTCCGGGGGCTCCGAGCGCCGCACGCTCGTCCCTGACTGGGACTGCCCGTGCCCTGTCCCCCCACGGCTGCAGGGAGCAGCCAGGCACTGGGGGCAGCATGGTGTGGGGGGCAGCATGGTGTGGGGGGCAGCATGGCGTGGGGGGCATCTCAGTCATTTTCTTCTCCTCCTTGTCCCCAGATACGTGGATAGCAAGGTTTTCAGGGAGACTTTATTGTGGTCTTTCAGTATCTAAGTGGGGATTATAAAAAAGGTGGGGACAAGCCTTTATTTTAGCACAGTCAAGGGATAATGGTTTTAAACTGGCAGAGGGTAGGGTTAGAATAGGTATTAGGGAGAATTTTTTTACAATGAGGGTGATAGAACACTGTATGAGGTTGCCCAGAAAAGCTGTGGATGGTCCATCCTTGCAAGTATTCAAGGCCAGGGTGGACAGGGCTTGGAGTAACCTGGTCTAGGGTGCTGGACTATACCACCTTTAATGGTCCCTTCCAACCCAAGCTATGTTGTGATACTATGATTTGCCTTTTTTGTTGATGAGTTGGCTTTTCAAACTGCTGCACCTTCTGTTGTGCTGTATTTTCTGAAATCCTGGCCCTTAAAAGTTCCTGGTGAGATTTGCCACAGTCCACATTATGGGAGTAACACACAGAAACCAAACCCAACACAATAGGTCCTGCAAGGCAGACTGAGAGAATCTGTCTGAGGAGATCCTTGCCACAGTACCATTAGCTGTGGGACCCTCCTTTCCAGGACCAGATTGCTCCAGCATTCTCCAGGGATGGGGATTTTGCACATTCCATGCAAGTGCTTTAGCCAGCATTCTCCCGGCAATCAGGTAACTTACAGCTTCAATGCATTTGGGCAGCTTTTCTTTTCTGCTTTTTTTTTTTTTTTAATTAAAAGATGCATAAATATAACCCATAGAGGTGCAGCTTGCAGTGAGTGTTCTCGGAACAGGGTTGCTGGAGCAGCAGGCAGTGGCCATGGGGTGCCTGTGGGTACCATCACTGGGACTCAGCACAGCTCAGCCACTGGCAAGGCAAGTGCCCAGGGCTTTATGCAACCTCTCTGCACCCAAGTCCAAGTGCCACATAATGCCTTAGAGCCCTCAGCTGTGGCTTTGTAACCCCACCACTGAACAGGGACATCCCAGGAACAACCTCGGGGGACCCCAGGGACATCCCTGCCTCTCACAGTGTCCCGCTGTGGTGTCCTGGGCATGCTCCCACCAGGCCCATGGGCAGCACTGCTCTACAGATGTAAGAGGAGATCTTGTTTCTCTTAACCTGAAACCATTTCCTTTCCCCCACTGCCCTCCCTCCCCTTACTCCCTAATTTGTCCCTGGGGTTTTAATATCTATTTCTCCAAGTGCCATAAGCCAAATTTACTGCTCACATAACTGCACTGACTTCAATGGAGAAGAGCGTTTAGGGTGCTCCAAGGAGGCATAAGTAGGAGTGATGTGATGGAATTGAGTAAAGGAAAATATAGTCTGACTGTCAAGAAGAGTTTCCTACCAGTGAAATCTATAGACTGCGGAAGTGTCCCATGGGAACGGGCAGAAACCAAGTTGCTGAAGTCATTTTAAACCAGCACAAGAGAATAGGAAATCAGCCCGGTAACTGGCCAGAAGGAAGGAGAGATGACATCATGCTACTTCTCCGTCTCTAATTTCTGTGGCTGCATTGCTTTGTCCATGAAATTATTTTAACGCAACTGGATTTCGCCTTCTTTTGGGTGATGTGATGGCCCCGACTGCTTTGGAGAAGTTTCAGTTCCTCTGCCCTGGATTAAATTCTGCCCTGGATTATAGCAATACCCACTGCAGCCCCCATTAGTCTTTCCCTTATTCTGCTGCTTGTAAACCCCTTCTAGGGTCTTCTCAGGCTTCTTCCCTGACTGAGCCGAGCCTCTGGCTCCAGTCCTGTACTTACTGAACTGTACAGAGTGGACCAGCCTCTGGGAATAGTGTGAGGGCTCATCCAGGCCATGAGAGACCCCACAGATGGAAATTCTCCTGCCTTCAGGGATTCTTCAGGTAAATTCCTTGTAGATAATTTGCTGGAAAACCATCAAGGAATGATTTTCATCACTACATATTTCCATCTCTATAGATTTTCATCATTCTGTATTTTCATTACAAAGGAATGATTCTCATCAAGGCACAGAAGGAAATGCTGCTTTCCCTGGTGACCTCTGGCTCTGGTAGCCCCTGCCTGCCTAACCTGGGCTCTGTGGATAAAACCAGGGCTGCAGATGCAGTGGCTGTGCCCTGCTACCACCCAGTGGCTCTGGCAACCTCTTGCCCACAGAACTTCCTAATGTATTTATGAATGACTTAACATTTGCTCACTGTCTCAGCAAAGCTCTAGTGCGAGCAACCTCCTACCTCACACAGTTCCCAGATAATTACAGATTAGAACCGGCTAATTTTTATTTTTGTAAAGCTGTCAGAGATCTATGTTTGTTATTATTGTCTCCTGGGTTGCCAGTTGCATAAATACATATGTAAAACCCCCTTTGATCTCTAAATATAATGACACAGATTTATCAAATGTTTGCCTTTTTCTGTCTCTTTGAAAAGGCTGATTTATGGAGTGGAGTCCCTACCTCCCTTCCTCTCTTGAAATATGAAGTGTTTGTGATCAGCCAAGGTAATATTTAATATCCTGCCAAGAATCCTTTGCACTTCCTAACAAATGAACTGCAACCTAACCAAATGGTTCACATCTGTTTAGCCTCTTCTTTTTAACTAAACAAATTAGCATTAGAATACCTGGGAGGAACACAAGGTCCCTTTCTAGATGACAGAACACAGACAATTATTACCAAGGGGAGTAACTGTACTGAAAGGAGCAGGCATGGACCTAGCAGATGTTTTCACATCTCCTGTAGTGTCCATGAATGACCTGCACCACAGTGGACACACGGCCACGGCCTTTTGAAGTGGGTGAAGAATCCATTCACAGTCGCCTTCTGAATGAAATTAAAGGCAGCAGTCCCAGTGAGTTAAGTGTTGCATTTAAACCACTTCCAGCAAAGGTTTGGCTAGGGGGGGTGGTTTCCCCCATAAATGTCTAAAATAAAGAGCATCACCCCACTCCTCCCCACCCACAGACTCAGGATACTCAGGAGACAACAGCTCTGGTTTTATTTCTGTTTTCACTAGTGCTTTCTCATCCCAAGAGCATCAAACCACCCAGCCTCATCACCCTTCCTCTCTGGGAAATAAGGTGTGATGGGTTATTTGGGGTTTAGGAGAGCACAAGACACAAATGAACATCTGCAAAGTACAGTTGGGATTATTATAGCCTCCTACAGTCTGCACATGGGCAATTAAAAGTTCACGCCCCTCCAACCACACAGTGCCTTTCAAGCACCCTTATTCCCACTGGGGTCCCCAACACCTTTTAATCAGAGGTTCAGGAGAGGCTCTGGAGACGAGACGGGACAGGACGGGGTGAGACAGGCTCTGCACTGAGCACACAGTTAATTGCATTCATCGCTGGAGGAGGCAGCCAGAGGAAACACACATGTTATTAGGGCTAACACTTAGCTTTTATTGTAAATGTTTTGGAAAAGAAAACACTCTGAAGCTTCACAGAGATACTGCCATTAATATATCATCCAAATAACAAGTGATTAAAACCAACAACAGCTACTATGAAAATGTGGCTTTGCAGCAGTGGACCGCATGGGATGCAGCCGGGAAAATCATTATGAACAGAGCAGCGGGGTGCAATTATAAATAAAAACAGCTCTGCAAAGGCTAAAAAAGCAGCAATAATCAGTCTGGTCTGTGGTTTAGTGAGGGCTACAGACATTACCGAAGGTGCTATTTATTACAGAGCCAGGGACACTGCTGGATGAAGGGATGCAACTTCGGGAGAAGTCAACAGAGGGAGTGGAGTGCCCGCCACCGCGGCCAGCGAGACTCGGCCGCACATCCCGGCAGCCGCGCGGAGCAATCCCTGTCCGTCTGTCCCTCTGTCCGTCTGTCCCTCTGTCCGTCTGTCCGTCTGTCCCTCTGTCCGTCTGTCCCTCTGTCCCTCTGTCTGTCTGTCCCTCTGTCCCTCTGTCCCTCTGTCCCTCTGTCCCTCTGTCCGTCTGTCCCTCTGTCCGTCTGTCCGTCTGTCCCTCTGTCCGTCTGTCCCTCTGTCCCTCTGTCTCCCTCTGTCCCTCTGTCCTCCCCACTGGGAGAAGGGCACACGAGCGGCGGGCGGCTCTGGACCGTGCCCAGAGCTCTGGGCTCTGCAGCCCGCCGGCGGCTCTGGCATTGTCACGGCTCCACGGCTCAGCTCTGCAGGTGCCTCGTTCAGCTGCACTGGTTCCTGCGGCTCCTCACCTCCCAGACACGCACGGAGCGATGGCAGCGGTGCTGCCCCGGTGACTGCCGGGGACAGCAGCAGGGACACCGGGGGACAGCTCCCTCCCACCCCAAACAGAAGCGCTCGGAGGCGCGGCCTGGCCCGGCCAGGGGCCATGGGGTCCCACAGGGTGGGGGCCGAGCTCTGAGCAGCGTAGGGAAGGGATGGCATGGGAACAGCGCCCTGCAGATGCTTTCACTACGCTCTTCCCAATCCTCATTTTTGAAGTGAGGAGGGTTAATCAGCCTCACTCCCAACATATTGACAGTTCCTGCCAGGCCTTGCCCCCGCTGAAAGC